CGTTCCAAATATGATTAAAGCCAGGGTTTTGTTAAAAGCAGTCTATTCTGCCCTTTCAACCAAAGAGGACAAATGGTCTTCTAACATTGAGACTTTCCAACCCTGGATATTCCCTTTTGTTATCAGGTTAGTCTGCCGAGATGACAATCAAAAGATGGCAGCGACTTGTGCTGCAAGAGTACATGCCCCATGGTGGATATGGACCCCAACTAATTTGGGCCATTTTAAGATAATCTCATACTCCTCCAAAGTAGGCACCATATCGAATTGGGGGAATTCGAAGCAGTGCAGACTAGAGTTCCAAAAATGAACTAGAATCTTGATAAAAATAGGATCGACACAGATCTTCAGCAGGTCGAGAATCCATCCGTAGGATTTTTCGAAGTCAGAGCGGACCTCTGGTGGCATCAGTGCGTAGAGCCGTTCTAATTTCTCAGCATGGTATCGGGGAATGTCCATTTTCTTCAATTGTCTACTAGTCCCCTCCATTTTCTAGAAACCAAAATGCATGCTATGAACATGATGTTTATTGTGTGTATGCATGTGAGTGTTTGTTTTTTCCTAAGTGTTATCATGTTTTATTTCTACATGATGTATGATAGTATTTGTTGTATATTTTTTCAAAAATAAACTACCTATATGGATGTTTTATGAATTTAATGTTTATGAACAAGGTCCCATTTTTATTTGATTTTTTATGGTTTTATTTTATAGCCTTATATCTCTTCTATCGGACTGTGTGGCTACTTAGCTTACAAAGAACCTGAAACCAGGCTAGCTAAAAGGCAGACTGTCCGAGATAAGGGTGTTTATTGCGAAAATATTTTTGTGGTTTTTTCTATTTTTTATCTGTTGTTTGGTTATGTTATGCAATCAAATGCAGCGAACAAATGCACACACAATTCACTCATCCGCGAACAAGTAGGATGACATTTTAATTACGAGGTAGGGTTTTCCTACAAAAAAGTACATTGGCAAATGTAGGTTATAACTGTTCTCACCAAGGCTAGACCCCAAGGTGCCCCCACTATAGGGTCCCCACTCTCCACCCTTCCGACCATGCTTAGCACTAAGGCCATAGTCAATCTTTGTGTCAAAAGAGGAAGGTTATCACCTTGAGTGGTGGTTTTCAATCATACTGGTGCGCTCATGGCCCTCACTACGACAAACCGTACCTGCCACCCACTCCTTATGAATTTCTCACTTGCCCCCAGGTATAGAGGGAACTGTTGTGTGCAAGGGTTTGTGTAGAGTTTGTATTTCAAACAATTGTGTAAAATAAGCAAACAACAGTTATTAAACCCAAAAAGATAAACATGTTATAAAACAAGGTAGGGTAAAAGTGAAATTTCTAAGTTTATTTATTAAACTCGCCCATCACTAAATGGGATCAACTCTCTAGGCTTCCCAAGTGGAGTCGCCATCTGTCGTCGTCGTCAAAAGAGGCGATCAGAGCGATGCGATGGTATTCCGACTTCCATTTCACGTTTAAAATGTGACGTTACAACGCCTTTAGGTTGTCCGATAACCGGGCTGGACCTAAGAGCGAGGTTCTCGAAAGGGAGCTTTTACGTTGTCCGATAATCGGGCTAGACCTGTCGCTGCCGTCAAAAAGAGGCGGTTAGAGCGACGCGATGGTTCTGACTTTCCATTTTCGCGTTTTTATGGGTAAGTTTACAACGCCTTTAGGTTGTCCGATAACCGGGCTGAACCTAAGGGCGAGGTTTTCGAAAGGGTGTTCATAGGTCGTCCGATAACCGGGTTGACCTAAGGACAAATTTAAAAGGGTTCTTATGGAGTCGCCACCGATATTTTTACCAGAAACATCAAAAAAGGAGAGAAAGGCATTGGTTTTTCGAAAACCAACTTTGGTCGTTAAAACCAGAGTTGGGTAAGGGAGTTAGTTACGTGTAAGAGAAGTGTTAGTTTCCTTACAACGCCCCTTTCGGGTTCCCTATGACAGGCCAGTTATTTTATAGATAAACTTTTGAAATGACACTTTTACCCTTTTATTTGCGGAATTAAAATGATGACTACATGACCCTAATATCTATTACGCAATTTAATATGAATAAAAAGGACAGTAAAAGAGAGGGAGAGAGTGAAGAAACCTCCGGAGCAAGCTTTTGATTAATTCTCTTGAAAAATAGGGTGCATTTTGGCAGCCCTTCACTCTTACAACGTCAAAATCGCTCTCGAAACGCTATAAAAACTCTCCTAAAAACTCTCAGAAACTTCAGAAATGCTTCGGAGGGGCTCTAGAAGAAGAATTTTGAGAAATTGTAGAAGGAAAGGTGGAAGAACTGTGTAAAATGAAGGGGAGAGCGCTCCCTATTTATAGGGATTCACAGCTGTCAGGTCGAGACGGCGATCTCAACTGGAAAGGTCGAGACGGCGGTCTCAACTTCCATAAGTGGTGAGACGGCGTGCCAGATGTCAAGAGGGCCTTCTCGCCAAACGGGAGGGGGGTCTCACCGATGGAAAGTGGCGAGACAGCCGTCTCGCTAAGCGAGACGGCAGTCTCGACTTACCATTAGTCAAGACGGCGGTCCCGAAAAGTGAGACGGCGGTCTCGACCCCTGAAGGCGAAAATCCTTATTTTTCGTACAAGAAAGCCTTCCTACTCTAATATGGGGCCTAATAGTCTCTCCTAGTAGCTTTTTAGGCTTCGTCCATCTTCAAATTGGAGGTCTTCTACTCTTATTTTGAGGCCGAACAAGATTAGGGGTCTATAGTTGCCCCCCCTTCACCCGACTAGTCGACTGTTGGCCTGTTGTGCCAAGAAGATCGGCTGGAGGGTGAAGGAGTTAACCCCCTTGCCCGGTTGTCCTTCGGATGTCCCATCTTGTTGTGGCTGATCCTTTGGGAAAAAGTGTTTTGTGCGCCTCCAGGATGCTCCTTCTGACGGTAGTCGATCCCTTTGGTTGACACATGGTAGAACCTCAGGATACTCCTTCTGACAGTAGCCGATCCTTCGATTGATGGGTATAAACCCCCCATCAGGCTGGTAGTTGCAGTCCGTTGTGCGTCGGTCTGGATGAGTATAAACCCCCATCAGGCTGGTAGTTGCAGTCCACTGTGTAGGGCTGATGGTGGTGATGGCTTACTACTCAGTAGCTCATGCGCTGATCAGGCGTACTTCGTGCGTAAGTTGATGGGTATGAACCCCCCATCAAGCTGGTATAGTCCACTTCGTAGGACTGGTGTTGGTGGCAGCTTACTGCTCTATAGCTCATGCACCAATGCTGGAATGTGTTCTTTTGCTTTTTGATATTTTTTTTTACTTTTCTGGAGTAGTCATCCGGTTTCTGCCAGGGATTACTTTGACCCTTCCGGTGGTCATCCAGCTTGTTGGTTGCTGGGGAGTCTTGTTTTGTAGTTTGACTTTATTGTTCGTCGAAAAACTCTTGTGGTTGACTTGTCTTATTTTAAATCCTGCCTTTTTCCGTGGTTTTATCTCTTTTCTCGTGATTTCGGATTTTGGCTTTTCCGGGATTAAGCGTAAGTCTTTTATTTTTTAGTTTCATTTTGTTACGCTGACTTTTTCGAAAAAGAGAACAAAAATGAATGGAAGAAATTTTTATTTATGATAAAATTTTGGATTACATCATTTATTTTTGGGGGAATCCCTAAGACGGTGGACTTGAGCCAGGAGACGATCCGGGAGGAGGGAATTGCCGGTACATGTGTCTCTGAAATTCTGCCTGGTCTCAGACTGCGTCGAAATGTTCTTGCCGGAACATTGTCAGGTCTTGTCTTATTCCCTCTTATATCTGGCTGAAGGTCTCCATCCTCGTCTCGAAGATATCCTGCCTTAGGGACATATGGTCCTGTCTTAAGGACATCTGGTCGAATTGCTGGCACAAGCTGTAGATGTTGCGGTTGATGCCTGCAAAGCCATCTGTATACTGTTGTTGTTGTTGCTGCTATTGTTGTTGTTGGAACTCCGGGATGTCGGGAGATCTTGCATTGCCACCAGGTCCTGGAGGTCAAAGGTCATGGCTAGCAAGGGGTGGAGGGCCAACCGGGACCCCTGGCGGATCAGCATCCCCATGCTGACAAGTATGGACCCGTTGATAGTCTCGGGTTGAAGATCGGAGGAGAGGTTCTCTTCGCCACTGCACCCCCATTTTTCTTCCAGCGGGGTGATGAGGGGAGCCATGAGGATGGCGCCCACAGGGCAGCTTCCAAAGTCCTTAAGGGCCTTCACGAAGAAGTAGCCAAAATTTCACCGACGCCCTTGGCTTATGCAGTAGAGGGCGAAGAGGTCTGGGTAGGTGACCTTACCTTGGGTCTCCTTCCGCCCGTGGACAGTCCCAACCAACAGCTTGTGGCAGATGCGGAGAGCGGGAGTGAGTGCGGACCCTTTCAGCAGGGATGGCAAGGTGTGCATCCCGGTGAGGCCCTCCCACATCTCACAGGTTGTGAGGGTAGGGGGTGCTCGCAGATGGCCTCCCGATATTCCTGGGTCAGGATGTCCTCGGGCCGGACGAATCCAATAGATACGTTGAATTCGTCCAGGGTCGTCGTCCGGTACGACCCACTCATGTAGTAGGACATCATCTTCACCGGCGGGAGGCCTGACACCATCGTGGGGAGCTCGTAGTATGTGATGGAGGCGAGAAACTCCATCACCGCTTGTGGGTATATGTCGGTGGGGGGAGACTGGAGGAGGAAGCGCCATCTGATGTTGTCGAGGTTGGTACGGACATCATCTTCCCAACCGAATTCAGCGAGGATCCCGAAGTCCAAACTCAACATAGGGTGCCATGTGTACCCTTAAATGTGTTCCAGGCGGGCTTGGTGTTGGGGCGAGAGCTGAGTCGGGTCCTGTGGAATTGGGGTCGTGGAAGCACTTGGGCCAGAATGACCCGTTCTCTTTCTTAAAGCCTCACCTCTATGCATTTTGGTAGGAAATTGCTCAAATATGGGAGAAATGTGTGTAGGAGTGCAAGAGAGAGTGTTTGAAACCCCCCCAAGGCCCCCCTATTTATAGAGTTTTAACTGGAATTCGGGACCGTCGTCTGGAACTTCGAGATCGTTTTGGTCCTAAGTCGAGACGGGCTCCCGCCAAGTGAGAAGGAGGTCTCGTCTTTGTCCAAAACGAGACGGTGGTCTCGAATTTTGAGACGGCGGTCTCGTTTCAACACGAGTCGAGACGACGGTCTGGGAAGACGAGACAACGGTCTCGATTTTGAGATGATTTATTTTTTAAGAAAATAGGACCTTGTTCAAAAACATTTTATGCATGCAATGCTTTCATGTTTGATGTCCTATAATGCCTATTTCATTTAGTTTTTCAGAAGGATTAACTGGTGTGTCTTGTAGAGACAGGTGCCCTCTGATCTTCGTTTTTTTGCTGTACTTGGCTGTACCATTCTGGACTTAATGGGACCGAAGAATGACTCCCTTTTATCTCTCTTTTTCTTCTTTTTTCTTCCCTTTTTTTTTGTTTTTTGTTTTTTTTTGAAAAGTACCCTTTGTCATGTTGGTGCCCTTTTTCTTTGCTTCAGAGATTTCAATCCTCTTGTTGACTATACGCCTCCATATTCCCAAACTAATTGTTAGAATAATGTTGTGAGGGTCAAGAGAAAAGAAGTAGAAGATAAATTCAACGGCTTGTGTTTTAGACGGTTGATTTTATTCAGAATAGATTTTGTAAGAATGGCTGGCTAAGGTTAGGCCTGAATGTTTAAGCTTTTGTCTAAATGAACGTTTTGCTCTTAGTTTCCTTTGTTTATTTTTTGTGGATTTGTGTCTTAGCCTATTTCCATTGCTTTCATGGCTGATCAATTTCCCTAGATCGCCCTTTGGATTTTCGAACTAGGATATTGTGTCTTGGCCCTATCTTTTATCTAGGTTCCTTCCTTTTTCTTTTTTTTTAGGAATCCTAGTGGACCTTATTTTGTAACCCTAATTTCTGCCTAGGCTACCCTTTATTTTTGTTTGGGTGTCCTAACGGGTTTACCCTATCTTTTGCGTAGCCCCCTTTGTGGGTTTCCTACCGGGTATATTTCCCCTTTCTTTTGGTCTTTGGCTTCTATGGGCTTTTTCTTTTCTTTTTGTTTTTACACAATATTGGCGAAGCACGGTTTTATTTATGGTGAGGTAAAACCTTATTTTGTGCTTCTAATCGACCAGCTTGATTATTATGGCAATGGTACATTTTGATTATTTGGACGCGCTTTTATTCTTCCTTTCTTTTGTTTGTTTAGAAAAGGTTATTATGAGGTCGAGACATGAAGTAGCACGAAGAGAAGCAGATAGTAAGAAATGTATTCTTTATTAATTAATAAGAGAATATGTGCCCTAAAATGCTCGGGGGTTGGGCTAGCCCCGGGGGATAATCTCTAACAATCACTGGGTTTACATCCCTTAAGCAAAGAAAAAGATCTCCTAATGACTAGGGTTGCTTTTGACGCTTGCATCCCTCCGCTTCGGAATATCTGCTTGAGTGTGCGGAGGGAAGACTTCCCTTTTCTTCCTTCTACTTGGCCCTTTGTAGGGTCGTATCCTAGGCCATACTTAAAGGGGTTATCTTTGAACTCTGGAGGTTCCCTTATTCCTTGGGAATCTGCCCCCAGTCCTTGGCTAGGATGCTAACCATGCTTCATCATCATGCGGGCTACCTTCGTATTATTGGGAAGTCTCTCTATATTGGTAATTTCGAGCGCTTGAAAAGATGTTTCAAGGGCCTCTTCAGCCGCATCCACATAAGGTTGGGTAGATGGTCCACTAATCAGGATGTCGTCTTCTGCGTGGACCGTGACCAGTTTGTCATCTATTATAAACTTGACTTTCTGGTGGAGCGTCGAAGGTATTGCCTTAGCATCATGAATCCAAGGCCTGCCGATGAGACAACTATATGCCGGAGTAATGTCCATTACATGGAAATCGACGTTGAAGATAGTGGGTCCAACTTGGATTGGCAGATTGATTTCTCCCACTACTTCTCGTTTGGATCCGTCAAAGGCTCGAACGATAATGCTGCTTGGGTGTAGACGGGATCCTTGGATAATCAACTTGTCTAGTGTGCACTTGGGCATCACGTTCAAGGATGACCCGTTATCCACAAGAACTTTAGCAATGAGGTACTCCTTGCACTTGATGGAAATGTGCAAGGGTTTGTTGTGGCTCGACCCCTCGAGGGGGAGTTCTTCCTCTGTGAAGGTGAGGTGATCGCTTGCTGTAGTGTGATTGACGATCCTCTCAACCTTTTCTTGGGATATGTTGTGAGGTACATGTTAGAAAAGTAGTTTTAGATCAAGAGGGGGGTGAATTGATCTTTGAAAGTTTTTCGCAATTCACAGATTATCTAATTCGAAAATTAAGTTTCTAAATCTCTTTTTGAATCACCAAGCAATCAAACAATATAAGCGCAGCAACAGAAATAAAAGAGAGAAAGGTTAAGAAAGATTTCACCGGTATTTTATACTGGTTCACCCAATACCAGGGCTACGTCCAGTCTCCAGCCAAATTCCAGCTGGGTTCCACTAGAATAGATGTTTTACAGACTCAACAATCTTACACCTAATCTAACACAAGAATCAACTTCCAGTTCTTGCACTTAACCTCTCCACCAAGAACCAAATTCCAGCTCTTGATAACCTCTGCAACCAAATTCCAGCTGTAGAGAAACCAGTACCCAAATTCCAGGCACCACACAGTACAAGAACCAAATTCCAGTTCCTGTACTCAACCTCTCCACCAAGAACCAAATTCCAGCTCTTGATAACCTCTACAACCAAATTCCAGTCACAATACAATACAAAAGAATGAAAAAGAATTTACAAAGAAGAAACTAGAAAGCTCAAACCAGTTTATCCAAATCTGCAGAGAGTTTCTTCTTCAAAGGAATGCAAGTTGCCTCAAGAAAGATTTTCAAAAAAACTTCAAAAAATTGTTGCGAATCTTTCTTGAAAAAGTGCTAAAGTTGCTTGATTGATTGCTTAAGGATGTATGAAAAACTGATGTACAATCTCTGTTTAAAAATTTCAAGCAAAACTGTTTTTAAAGAGAATTTTCAAATCTGCTGCATTAATTAATCTGTTGAAATAGCCGTTATAATCTGTTAAAAGTCCTTTCAACCCATTAATGCGTTCTTGTTTCTTTAACATAATTGTTTTAGTTGATACAACCATGTTTATATCAGTTAAAACATTTTACAAACATTTTCTAAGTGTGATTCAATCGATTGATTCGTGTTTTAATCGATTGATTTACTTTAAAACTGTCTTATAAAACTTTTCAAGTTATTTTAACTGATACAAAGAAGTTTTAATCGATTAAAAACCTGCACAGAATTTTTCCAAGTTGTTTTAATCGGTTGAAATACGTTTTAATCGATTGAAACTATGTACAAAAATTTTCCAAGTAATTTTAATCGATTGAAATGCGTTTTAATCGATTGAAACTCTGTACAAAAATTTTCAAGTCATTTTAATCGATTGAAATAAGTCTGATCGGTCACAATTCAATTCTGATCGATCATAACCAACTCTGATCGGTCATAATTTCATTCTGATCGATCATCCTGACTTCCAAAGTGGTTTTAATCGATTGAAACGTGTTTTAATCGATTAAAAGAGTTTTGATCGCTCATATTTGAATTCTAATCGGTCATAAAGAGTTTTAAAGGGTTTTAATCGATTAAAAGAAGTTTGTATCGATTAAAATACTGTAAAAACACTTCTTTAAACATTCTAAGTGATTTTAATCGTTTCTTTCAAAGCAATATCAGTTAAAAACATTATTAAGAATGTTCTTTGTCAAAATGCTTTTGTTTTTTATTTGTTTAAAACTATTTTTGAGGCATTTTGCAAAATGAATGAAGAAACTTTATGCAGCAGAAAAGGTAAAATGGTTTTACCTAAGCCTTCTGTTAGACACAGTAAATCTTCTAGCACAATTATCTGAGTGACTTGTTGACTGCTGCAGAGTTGACCTTTGACTCTATCTTTGACTTCATCAAATCAATGAGATCTTTGCTAGACTTTACTTTTGCTAATCAGAAATAATCAATGAGCAAAATTTGCTAGACTTTACTTTTGTTCTCAAATGACTGAGTCACGTATTTTGGCATCTGACACAAATAATCAGGGAAATAAGAACAAATTCATTTACACCAAACTGGAGGATTTGCAACTAAACCAAGGAAATTGGGATAATTAAATATTGGTGGATAAAAAGGGTCCCTTCTTACCTTTCCTTTATATCTTATCTCTTTTGATGCTAATTTCAATTTATGATCTGTAGTATCACTGGTTATTAAACAGAAACAATATTTTTAGCCTTGATTTATATAATGTAGGTTGAAAGTTGAAACAGGAAAATCTAGATAGAATTTAAATAGATCCCTGAGAGCTTTAGCTAAATAAGATTTTATTCTGATTTTGATGGATCTATTAGTTAAGATTTAATCAATGTAGTTGTTAGTATTGTTAAACATCCTTCTAGATGATCAGTTTTACAAAATATGCATTAAACATTACTTCATTTTCAAAACTGATTGTTTTAATCAATACAACATCTTTTTAATCGATTAAATGAACTTATACAACATTTTTTAATCGATTAAAAGTCGAAATAATCGATTAATTTCACTAAAGTTTCATGTTTTCAAATTCTTACATGTTTTAATCGATTAAACCCTTCTTTCAATCGATTTAAATCATTTATCAAAAACATTTTAATCGATTATGTTCTGTTTTTAATCGATTTTTATTCTGGAAAGAAAGATTAAAGGCTTTAGTTAATGGTTGTTCCTGTAACATGCTACTAAAGCGTGATTCCCTTATCTTTACACGTGTTAATTGTATTCATTACAAACGTGTTAATGAAGATAAGCTTGAATCAACTTTAATTGATCTGTTCATGAGTAAAATATTGATTTCTGGCTATTTTCAAAAACTTAAGCATATTTCAAACCTTTACATTTTATTATTTCTCTTCTGTTCCCTATTTTTGATGAAGTCAAAAGGGGGAGAAATAGTTGCTTTACTTGAGGATAAATTTAGAAAAATAACTCTTACATTAAGAGAGCAACATTTTAGGGGGAGAAATAAGTTTTAGGGGGAGAAATAGAACATTAATACAATTTTATATTTCTCACTAAACTGTATTATCAAGTGACTTCTTTTGCAGAGTTTGTTTTTTCAAAATGGTGTTTGTCTTCATCAAATAGGGGG